CTGGGGATCAAACCCAGGCTCTTGTGACTGATAAGCATGTGTTCTATCATTTGGCTACATCTCCAGCCCCTAAATAACTCTAGAAGCCAATGTATGTTCATATCCAGATAGATAGACTTGATTAGTACAAAATTGCCTTTAATTTCTATTTACTGGCATAGATTCTAAACCCTAGCCTGCTAAATAGCCAAGTCTGAATATATTGACATGATTCATTCTACCCTCATCTTCAGGAAGAATTGTCACAACGTTCTTGGTAAGTTGCCCCAGTGAGACTGGACCCAGGACTATCGTGGCAAGTGGCAGCAGCACTCAATGGGAGAATCCTCACCTTCAGAAGACACTGAGGTCCCCGTTGGCAGGGATTATAAACGGGTGCACTGAGGAGGGTCCTGGGCCTGCAGAGGTGTTTCATTTCACTTAAGGCTGTGGTTTTGTTTTATTTTGTTTTGACACAAACATTAATGGAGTTGGAATGTCTTAGAAGGAGCAGGCATTTTTAGGGCTCACGCAGTCCTACCTCCCACTGCCTCAGCCCTGTGTCTTCCCACATGTCCATATCCGCCTGCTATTAAAGCTTTTGAGTTTACCTAAAACAAAATAAAACAACAACAACAACAACAAAAATACATGACCTGGGGCTGAGAGAATTTTTCAAACTAGTCTTTTTTTTCAAAAGACCATCATCCATCCTCTCTCACCACCGCAGAAGGCAAACACAAGAGATCCACCAACTCCCAAATCTGCCCTTCCCTCTTTCCTCTTCACAGTTCCCCTTCAGCTCACGAGCCAGGTTGCAGGCTGCATTCAGCAGAGGAGAGGCGTCTCCACAAACCTTTCCAATGTTTCTTGCCTTTGAAATAGATAAGACGAATTCCTTGCTTCTTTTGGTAATTCTTAAACACGGTGATTGTTGGTTTGTATTGGCCTAAGTGGACAATGTGGCAATAGATAGATCCAAACTTTCAGGTGTTTTCTGATTCACTGGGAAGCCATAGGGCAAAGACAACCTCCAGCTGCCAGCTACACGGAAGACACTTCTAAATTTTAGGACACTACTTTTGTATTCCATGCTTTTTTCAGATAGAGCAAAAAGCTCTTGATGACACTATTTTATATTTTTGTACTTATGTATCATGAGTCATGTTAAGTTCCCTGAAACTGAACTGCTACATTCATTGAAAATTTAGACATTTCTTCTACCTTTTAATACCTATGTTCAATTATGTATTCCCAGTTTAAGAGTTTGAGGGATTTTGTTTGTTTTGGTACTGGGGATTAAACCTGGGAACACTTAACCATTGAGTCACATCCCCAGCCCTTTTTAAAATATTTTATTTAGAGACAGGGTCTCACTAAGTTGCTTAGGGCCTTGCTAAATTTCTGAGGCTGTCTTTGAACTTGTGATCCTCCTACCTCACCCTCCCAAATCATTGGAATCACAGGCAAGTGTCACCACAGCCGGTGTGAATGTATCTACTTTAAATAGGAAGGTCTTTCTGTTCCATAAATCTATTTATAATGATTCAGAAAGAGGTTCTTTAACTTGGGACATTTTGAAATAACAACAGAACTCGTTGTTCTTTCTTGATGAGCAGATGAGACAATGAAAATTCTTAGCACCAGGTCTGGTCCACGGGAACTAATCAACTAGAGTAGGAAGAGCCAGGAATTCATGCAGAACAGGATTTCTTAGCTACAGAATTATTGAAGTTTGGGACTAGATAATTCTTTGTGGTGCACAGGGCTGGAGGTGTTGCCTTGTGTACTGCAGAATGTTTAGGGACTATATTAATGTTTGGCCCACATGGCACCAAAGTTCTTAAATCCTGCATTACTGACATAACAAGCCAAATCACTCCACTTTGGAGCACTGTCCTGTACATTATAAAACGTTTAGCTGTGTCCCTGTGTCCACCAGTTGCTCATAGTACCTAGTTGTAATAACCAAATATCATTCCATATACTGCCAAATATCCCTGGAAAGCAAAAGCAGTCCCACTTGAGAACCACTGGTGGAGAACCTGGGCTTTGAGTCTTTTAATTACTTCTTCTATAAAAAATTGAACAAGTTTCCCTCCGAGGGAAAGGTGTCTGAACCTCCCTGATGCTATATTTTATTTCAGCTACCTGGTTACTGTCCACCTGACCCACCAGAACAAAAAAGCTCCAGGAAGGTACTCTTGTCTGCTGTGTCCACAGGGGGCAAATCACCACGGACACAGCAGATGTTCAGTAAAAACCTCTTTAAATGAATTCACGAAATAACATTTTTTTCTGCAGTCCCTATCTACTAGCTAATAGGTCATAAGGTTCCTATAGGCTCCACAGGTTCAACTAGGTCTGTGGAAAGTATCTCCCTTCCCTCCCATCCCTAATATAAACCCTTCTCTCAAGAGAACCTATTGTTGCAAAATAGTAAGATCTTCTCCAGAGCACAAGTGCCAGGATGGGAGTCTGAAAAGAATAAAATGGGATCCTAGTTTCCAGGGTCATTCATAGGGACCTGAGAGTTCTTTCAGATCAAACTGGATCCAAAGCAGGATCCAACGTAGCTTTAAAATTCTCTGCATCAAGGATATAAAATCAACAGCCATAAATCAAAGGCATTTCTGTATATCAGTAACAAATCCTCTGAAAGGGAAATGAGGAAAACTACACAACTTACAATAGCATCAAAATAAATAAAATACTTGGGAATCAGCTTAACAAAAGAGGTGAAAGACCTCTATAATGATAACTACAGAATGCTAAAGAAAGAAATTAAGGAAGACCTTAGAAAATGGAAAGATCTAACTAGTTCTTGGATAGACAGAATTAATATTGCCAAAATGACCATACTACCAAAAGCACTACACAGATTTAATGCAATTCCAATTAAAATCCCAATGACATTCCTCATAGAAATAGAAAAATCAGTCATGAAATTCACTTGGAAAAATAAGAGACCCAGAATAGCTAAAGCAATCATTACAGGAAGAGTGAAGCAGGTGGCATCACTATACCAGACCTTAAACTGTACTACAGAGCAATAGTAACAAAAACAGCGCCAAAATAGACTGGTAGACCAATGGTACAGAATAGAGGACACAGAAACTAACCCACCTAATTACAGTTATCTTATATTTGACAAAGGTGCCAAAAACGTACATTGGAGAAAAGATAGCCTCTTCAACAAATGGTGCTGGGAAAACTGGAAATTCATTTGTACTAAAATGAAATTAAGCCCCTATCTCTCACCAACTCAAAATGGACTAAGGACTTAGGAATAAAATCAGAGACCCTATGTCTAATAGAAGAAAAATAGGCCCAAATCTCCATCATGTGGGATTAGGCCCCAACTTCCTTAATAAGACTCAATCAAGAATTAATAAATGGGATGGACTCAAACTAAAAAGTTTCTTTTCAGCAAAAGAAACAATCTGTGAGGTGAATAGAGAGCCTACATCTTGGGAGCAAATCTTTACCCCTCACACATCAGATAGAGCACTAATCTCTAGGGTATATAAGGAACTCAAAAAGCTAAGCATCAAAAAAACAAATAACCCAATAAATAAATGGGCCAAAGATCTGAACAGACACTTCTCAGAAGATGATATACAATCAATAGACAAATATATGAAAAAGTGTTCATCATCACTAGCAATTAGAGAAATGCAAATCAAAACCACTCTAAGATTTCCATCTCACTCCAGTCAGAATGGCAGCTATTACGAAGACAAACAACAGTAAGTGTTGACGAGGATGTGCCGGTAGGACTGCAAATTGGTGCAGCCAATCTGGAAAGCAGTATGGAGAATCCTTGGAAAACTGGGAATGGAATCACTATTTGACCCAGCTATCCCACTCCTCAGTTTATATCCAGAGGACTTAAAAAACAGCATACTACAGGGATGCAGCCACATTAATGTTTATAGAAGCATAATTCACAGTAGCTAAACTGTGGAACCAACCTCGATGCCCTTCAGTAGATAAATGGATAAAGAAAATATAGTATATATACACATAATGGAATATTATTTAGCAATAAAAGAGAATAAAATCACGGCATTTGCAGGTAAATGGATGGAGAATATAACGCTAAGTGAAATTAGCTAATCCCAAAAAACCAAATGCTGAATGATTTCTCTGACTTAAGGATGCTGATCCATAATATGTTGTGCGGGGCAGGGGATGGGAGGATTAAATGAATTCTAGATAGGGCAAAGGGGAGGAAGGGGAAGGGGGGCATAGGAGTAGGAAAGATGGTGGAATGTGATGGCCATCATTACGCTAAGTACATGTATGAAGACTTGAAGGATGTGACTCTACTTTGTGTACAACCAAAGATATGAAAATCTGTGCTCTATATGTGTAATATGAATTGTAATGCATCTTGTCATATATAACAAATTAAAATTAAAAAAGAAAAAAACCCCAGTAAGCATGTCATGTAACTAACAGAAGGAGAACCAAAATTACCTTCTTAGATCATGTCTATAAAACTATAGATTTTAGCTGAGACACAGAGGCATCAGGCCTGTGACTCAAGAGGCAGAGGATCCCAAGTTTGAGTTCAGTCTGTGCAACTTATTGAGACCCTGTCTCAAAATAAAAAGTAAAACGGGTTGGGGATGTAGCTCAGTGGTAGAGCACCCCTGGGTTCAGTCTCCAATACCACAAAACAAACAAACAAACCACAGATTTTACATATCCATGCCAAGATCAAACCAGCGAGTTCCTCTCTAATGCCCATCCACATTCTACTCTGCCAGTGTGTGCTTCTTGCTTTCTTTAAATATTTAAAGTTGACTTGTGTATCAAAAAAAAAAAATTCTCTGCATCAGGTTGGGATAGGTATGTGAAGGGTCAGTTTCACAGAAAGGCAGAAAAAAGCCTCAAAGTCACTATGGGTTTGACTCCAAGCCCCTCCTGCTAGTCAGGCTTGTGGGCTGCTCCCCGGGACAGCACTGCCTGGATAACGATGTTTTTGTGTTCTAGGTCACTCTGCCCTTGTTGTTTATTGCTCACATGTGGTGGTTGACGGAGCCTGAAAAAACTTTGTACCTTCTCTTCTGCTGGAAAACCACGCTATCCACTCACTCATCTCATAAGTCCACCGGCTACCCAAGACCAACGACAACTATTCTTTTTCATGCTAATCTCTTTTTTGGATACTATCCAGGAAACAGCCTTTTCTAACTATTCTGGCAATCAGAAGAACATTTCTCATGTGTGCAGAGTCTCTTCCGTTGAGTGGATTCCTGTGATTCTTGCTGGCACCTGCCCAAAGCCACCACTTGGCTTTCCTGAGTCCAGCAGCTGGACCCCATCTGTGTCGGCGGCTTCTCTCCACCACCTCCATCTACTGTTCCCTACGTGAGTCTATGGCTTTGCTGTTGTGGATGAATCTCATGTCTACTTCCTTTCTCCAGCAGCTTCGAAGCCCTGCTTTATCATCTGTGTATTCCTGTGCACGCTTTCTTTACCTATTCCCAACTTTTGTCCTCTAACAAAATACTCCTCCTTCCCTCTCTCCCAAAGATGGCCTCTGTAGGGGATCCCAGTGGTCAAAGGCTAAGAGAAGACTATCTTGACCACTCAACAGAAAATGGGCAACACTTTGAACTATTCAAATAGCCAATAAACACGTAAAAATATGCTCATTTTCATTGGTTCCAGGGAAATGCAAATAAAGGCCTCAATGTACAGCTACCACACAGCTGGCCATGGTGGTTGAGATTAAAAGGACAGAAAACACCAAGTGTTGGTCCTAATGTTCCTGTACTGCAAATGGCAGTATAAACTGATATCACCACTTTGGAAAACTGTTTGGCAGAACTGTGCCCACTAAAACTAAACAATGAAATTCCCTACCACAAAGAGTGCTTAGGCCCAGCCAAAGACATTTTCTAGAATGTTCATTATGCTGTCACTCAGAGTGGCTTCCAAGTGGAACTACTCAAATGTTCGTCAACCAAAAAGCTAAAAAACAAACTGTATCATCCTCACAGTGGAATACTAGACAGCAACGGTAGTGAATTGTTCACAAACCCATGCAACAGCACCAACAAATTCCAACAAAATATTGAGCAATGGAAGCTAGATAGAGAATGTATGATATGATGTCATTTATATAAAATACTTGGACAGGCAAGGGAAATCAATCTATTAGAAGTGATAAGTGATGAGAAGAAAGCATGTGGGATATTCTTTTTTTTTTGGGGGGGGGTACTGAGGATTGCAAACCTAGGGGCACACTGAGCTACATCCCCAGCCATTTTTTATTTTGAGACAGAGTCTTGCTAAGTTGCTTAGGGACTCACCAAATTACTAAGGTTGGGCTTGAACTTGCAATCCTCTTGTCTCTTCCTCCCCAGTTGCTGGGATTACAGGTGTGTACACCACACCCAACTTGTGTGGTATATTCTTGATTTGGAGACCGATTATATAGGTGGGTTCATTTTGTAAAAATTCATCTAGTGGTACGATTATGATCAATGCATTTTTCAGAGTTTATGATGTATGGTATTGGGGTCAGGTTGCTGGAAAGCAGACTGAGATAGATATCCATGTACTAGTGCTTGCCTGGCATTTGTGAAACCCAGGTTCAAACCTCAGTTCTGGGGGAAAAAAAGCTAGAAGTTAATTGGGGAAGGCACACTTCAGAATGATATCTGTGACAAAGGAAGGCTTAAATGAGCAAAGAGAACAGGTGAAATATGAAATGTCATCACAAAGCCCTCAGACCATCCCCTCAGGGGTTGTGATGAATTGGGACTTGGAGGTTAGATATTTACATGCCCCTATTGATCACATAATCTCTTTTAAGCAATTCCTGTCCAATAAGTCAGTCCTTTCTCAAATGTGGGCTGCCATGAGGACTGGAGCAGGACCTGGGAGGAGGCATCTCTCTTTAGCAGAGGGCATGTGCTGGAGAGGGGCTCAGTCCAGAACTACTGGCCAGGTACACATGAGAACTTCAGTCTGGAAGGCAAACACAACTAGCACTAAATACTTGAATAAAAAGCATAACAACAAAGACTCTGACTTGAATGATGAAAGAAGAAAGAAACATTCGAAAGAACGAATAACAAGATGGGACAGGCAATGTACACATTGACCGCACACCATCACTGAAATGCTTAAAACAATTACCAGTAATTTGTCTCATTATCCTGAACCTTGGGCCAAGGTGGCCTATGGCGTATTTTGTTAGTAATTTATTACAAACCAAATGCTAACAAATGTTTTTCTAGCCACACATTTTTTAGTTCCAAGAAGAATTTCTGTGGTTTGCACAGATCCTTAGAGTCTAGCAAGAGAGAATGTACCTATTAGTAGCCGTTGGTGGACTCTCCCTTTTATAATGTGGAGCCCCAAACAGTGGTTATAGCTTCCAGCATTTTCAGTTTTGTCAGCTACTTTCATAGGGCAGGGCTTGCAGCAGATGGTCATGTTGTTCAATACTGTGGCCAGAATAACCCTATCTGCTCCAACAGGGCTTGGGCTGAGCTGGTTAATTATTATTGGAGTTAAGGCTGCAGTTTCTTGGAAGACACAGCTGACTTGCAGGTTAAAGAGCTCTCTCCAGCAAATGCTGTGTTCCCTGGAGTGGCGAGTCCAACTGTGGAATCATGTTCTGTTGGATTGTGCTCCCCTTCCTCCCCCGGGCCGAGCCACCTCATTGCAGGTGTGGGACCCATGGCCATCTAGACAGCCTCCCACACATGTATCCACTCCCTCTCCTAGGGAAGGGTTGAGCTGGGGAAAAGCAGATTTCTGATGAGTTTTAGCATGAAGGAAAACTCTTCACAGGGGGAACGATCATACCAGGGTGGAAAGTAGCACCTCTTTCTGTTCCAAATTTCGTCATAAATGGTTGTGGTTTCAGCAATGGATTTGAAGGAGGGTATTTGGTGGATGCAGAACTAGGAGCTTGGCTAACCTGGGATGGAAAGAAAGTTGTTTCTACCAAACCTCTTTTTTCAGTCATTTTTCTATGGAGTCCTTACTTTCCTTCCTGTTCCCTAACTCTCCATTTAAAACTCAAGGTGCCCAGTGTCTTCATGGCTCTGCCAATGGCTTTTCAGGGCAAAGACAAATGAGAAAAGTGGAGCAGAATCCAGGTCCATCCTTCCTATGTCACCTCCTACTGTCATTTCATTTGAAAGGTGCTTGTTGCTCATGGGAGCATTCAGCTCTGGGGCCTCACACATCTGTAATTGAGTATTATATACTAGATAATAAATGAATAGGGCAGGCCTATGACTCTTTGTTTAAAAAGATTGATTGTGAAGTAGGGGTGTAGCTCACTGGGAAAGTCTGAGGCCCTAAGTTCAATCCCAAACCAGACCCTCCCTAAAAAAGGCAGATTTCAAAGAGCTTCCAGGGCCACAAGGTTTTTACCCTATTCCCAGGTAGCTCCAGCATGTTTTATGTAACAGTTAACAGTTCTCACTGCCAGCGGACTTGGCAGCAGGCACTCTATAAAAAGACTGTCTTCGTGGATATTTATGGTTTTGTCTTCCATAACAACAGCCTTCCTCTTTGGGGAAATGCTGCTTCAAGCTATTGGGACTGTTAATCATTGTTCTCCCATGTCCTCCAAGCAGGAAGGACATATAAGCCAAGATGAACTTGTGGTAGAAATCCATCTTTTTTTCAGAGATGGGATCCAGAAATTCATGTGAAGTAGGCCAGACTACATGGAATTCACGGACAAGATATTTCACAGTGGAGCAAATGGAACAGCACTGTTTCCTTTCTGACTGGTAAGCTGTATGCATTTAACCCTGGAGAGAGCGGGGCAAGGAGGTGCACATCTGTAATCCTAGGGATCCAGGAAGCTGAGGCAGGAGGATTGCAAGTTTGAGATCACTGAGACCCATCTCAAAATAAAAAGGCCCAAGATGTAGTTCAGTGGTAAAGTAACCCTGGGTCAGATCCCTAATACCCCAAAATTAAGGAAAAAGAATTTGAGCCTGGTGCTTCTGCCAGCTGTGTCCCTTGCTATATGACCTTATTGGAATATAGCTCGCTCTAGATACTCAGAAAAAAAGCAACAAAGAAAGGGGGAGAGAAACTCGGCAGCTTTTTAGGTTGTATTCATCCTGATTTTCTGTACTAAAATGAGCAGGCCTCCCAGGCTCCATAGGCAGTTCCAGCTTACACCCTGTTGTCTCAGCTCAATCATTAACAGCTCTCACTTTCATTCTCAGAAGTGTCCCATAAATTATTTAATCATTATCTCTACACAATGTGGTTAAAGCAATCAAGTCTTTTCTCCCTTACATTAGTTTAAACTGGTTTTCTGTCACTTGCAACAACAAAAAAGTCTTACTGAGTTACCTTTATTTCCCAAATTAATCAGGGAATTTTTCCAAACTGATTTCTGGATTTGATTACTTACGCTTTTTCTTGAACTCCTTGGCAGATTCCTGATTCTACATCTGACGCTTGGTCTCCACTTACTTTGTAGAATTGGCTTCTTGGACCCTCAGAAACCTATCCAACCATCATGGCCTGGTCATGAGTTCCTTTGCTTCATACCTCACCCCAAAGTCAGCATAGTGCACAAATTTCATCTGGAAGCTCTGGGAAGATGGTTAGAGAGGATAAGAGCCAAGGTTAGCCTAAGAGACCACCTGGATGAGTTAGCTTCAATTGTGTTTTCCATAATTGCATTATCCAGCTCAAAATTCATTGTCCTGGAAGAGGATCAAATGGCATAAGTTGAGTTTGGTGCCCACTGGTTCAATAGGAGACAGTGGGTATCATGATAGATATTCCGTTATAACTACACAAAATTAGGGAGAGGCAATCCACCCTCTAAGAGAACAAATATATATTTAACAATGTGCATTTACTTATTTAACCAGCTATTTGTGTGTCTATACCAACAAGAGCTGAATGAACTCTTATATAACAAATGTGATTGGTGCTCAGAAGAACTGGTGATGACATAGTTGATCTTTCTGGAATAATGAAGAACCACAAATATGACCACCCTGAGTGATGATGAAGCTAATATTTATATATATTCTGCATTTCTGCATTCTGCAATGATTGAGTAAAAGTTTGGGGTGGGTGTTTGTAGAATTTTTTTTTTGAGGTTTCCCGGTGTATTCATTCCTCTGCCTTAAATCCACCCTGCTGGGTCCTGTCCTTCATGGCTTCCCCCTTCGTCAATATCACATTAGAACCAGCTTCCAATATCTTCCCATGGTTTCTTTTTTCTTGATGTCAATTCCAGGGCTCTACACATCTGCCCTGTTCCCCTTTTGGCTTCTGACCTCATGATTTGATCTCCGTAGTAATGTACATCTCACCACTCTGACCTTTCAGCACTGCCTCTAGAGCTCTCCACCATTTTTCATCTACAAAAGCTAGTGGCTAATCCACAGTTCACCCTCATTTGGCCCCTGAGACCTTGAGCCTTAGCACTGATGCTAGCAGAAGGCATTTTTTTTCTGGCTCTCTCCTCAAACTGATGGAAAATGTGATGAAGAAAGTTATTGGTCCTGGAGTCAGGCACACCTGATTCATGTCCCAGCTCAGCCATTATTGTCACTGTGAAAACCTGAAACTTAACCTCCAGCAGAATGATGCTGTATAGCTTTCCAAAAATCCCACAGTTTTGAAGATTTTTTTCATGTGCAAATCTTCTGCCTTATTTGGTAATTAGTTATGTCAAAATAAATACATATTTTATTAATAAGGATAGGTTCACATACACTATAACAACAAATAAATTCCCCAAATCAAAGTGGTTTGGCACATTTCTGCCTCATGTGAGTCAGGATGGTCTCCTCCATGCACAACTCAGGGATCCAAGCCCTTTCCATCAAGCATCTCCTCAATCAAAGAATCCTTCTCTTCAGGCCCTTGAAAGGGGACAGAGTGAGTATAAGGTTGCACAGGATATGGTAGGGCTAACTTCTAACCACATAGCATTGGCCAGAACTGAGTCACACTGTCCCACCCACATGCAAGAGGAGCAGGGAAATGTAAACTTCCTGTGTACCCGAAGGAGGAAGCAGGATTTGGTGAGCAAGTGTCTAGTCAGTCTACCACAAAGTCATCTTACAGTTGATGTGTGTTAAAATAAAACCACATAATTATATTATATACTTATTATAACTTATATAATGATATTATGCATTGATATGCCAAACACATATTAAGCTTTTTACATTGGGTTATCTCATTTCATTTAATTTTATAACAACTTTATGAGGTTTGGTAAGGATTAGACAAGGCAAATTCGAAAACAGCGGATGCCAACAATTACTCATATCATTTTTTGTGCATTTCACATTCTACGAGGAAACTGCCCAAGTTAGCATATTAAAACAGCACTTGGATGGATACTGTCTTTAACTCATATTTAATTCATATAAGATGAATCACTTTATTATGGAGTTATATGATAGAGATTGTAGGATATGCCAAGATGAGTCTGCTAGGGTCTTCAATGATAGGACAAAAGAGTATATATAAATAGAAGTGATACAAAAGACACCATTATAAGGGTATAAAGAGGTATCTGTTCAATTCCGGGATTTAACTTTAACTGAGGTTGATTCACAAGACACCACCGAGCTGGTAAAGAGGAGAAAGGTGTTCTGGACAATGTTGCTCATGATAAAAGAACTTGTGCCTTCTTCCCTCTTTTTTTTTTCTCCTAATGCATTTCCCCTTGTCCAGATTATGATTTAGGGCTCCTTCTCCAATTCAGATGGAACCTGGGCTTGCGGTCTTTCTGTTGCCAGGGTGCTGACTTTCACTCTGTTTCCTGTTTGCCATCTTACACAGACCGACCATAGGAGGCAGCCTCTCCATGTGGATTCCCCAGTGCATCTTCTATTACTTATCTTTGAACCCAAGCTCATATTTATTCTTGCCCAATTTTAGACAGCATCCCTGAGACAGAGTTCAACATTCAACAAGTGCTGGAAGAGACGGATGAAAAAGCTGATAGGGAAACATAACAGATTTTGAGTCAAAATGGGGAAGGAAAGGGTAAGACAGGGCCAAAGTCAGTTGGTGGTCCAGGAAAACAACAGGCAAAGAGAATCAAAAGAAATAGCCTTGCACTCTAACTCCCAGTCTGCATGAATTTTTTAAAAAGGAAGCTTTACTTGATTTTTATCTGGAGCCTAGACACTAACTATAAAGAAATGTTTCCAAGAAATGAGCATATTGTACGAGAAGCCTTGTGAGCCGTGTTTTTATTTTTGCAATAGAATTCTCTTTGGGGTGACAAGGTTAGGAGTGGGGGAGACTCCAGCAGGCACACAAGAGGCAGCCTCTGTTCATGCAAGTGGTGGTCTCAGCCCTCACAGAGCCCTCCCATTGTCTAACCCCCACAACACTTGCTGGACAAGCCAATACATTCTTTGTTTCTTGACTTACTCTTTCATAGTAAGAGGTTTACATCACTCAAGTCATCCAAACACAGTTGATGTGAACAGTCATTTCCAAGGAATGAGAAGAGCACTTCAGTCCCTGGTTGAAACTGATTGATGGCCAATGTGTGCATCCTGGCAGCCCCCTTGTATAACTGGGACTAGAGTCAGGAGGCCCCCTACAATGGTGTGCATTATTTTAAGAAACCATAAATGTGCATGTCCTTTGAGATTTGTTTTCTTCTCCTTCTTCTCCTCCTCCTCTCCCCTCCTCCTCCCCTTTCTCTTCTTCCTCTTCCTCCTCCTCCTACTCTTCCTCCTCTGTGGGCACTAACAATCTTTGATTTTTTCACAGTCACATTCTTTCCTAATAAAACTCTGTGAGTCAATAACCTAGCTAGAAGACTGAGGTAGATCCCAAGAGTCCTTTAACATGTTCATCTTTCTACATGAAAACTAACATATTCTTTTTGACTCCCTCATTCATGTAAGAAAAGCATGACAAATCCCAAAATAAAGAATTTGTCAGGAATTAAAAGACAGCCGCAACTCTCTTAAGAATGCTTTTTTCCCCTTCAAACATTTGTGAGTGAAAATTCCAGCTTTACTAGCCTGCTTTGTAATCTGTTTTGCATGTTTGGAGGTCAAAGTGGAGGCCAAAGGTCAGAGTTTAGGGCAGGATTGAAGCACTGTAGGAGGCATTACCAAGTGCTGACTTGCATTAGAAAGTGGTTGCTTGGACAATGTACACAAAGTAAATATAAAACACTTAATAGCAGGCATAAAACACTTAGCATGTCTGTTACATTGCACATAGTGGACACTTAACTATTGCTACTATAAATGAAAACCATCTTCTTTCTCATAGCCTAGAATGTGGGGGATTTGTCTGGATTCCTTTTGTGGTGGATAGGTGACCCTGAAGGTCTGTTCCTTCAAAAAAAAAAAAAAGTTCCTTTGCTTCTTTCTCCTCCATCTTTTCTATCAGCTCACCATTTTATTCTCTCTGAACTCCACGTCCCCTTGTGCTCCACCAGATGTCAGTCTGGCCTTGCTGGTGCCTTAAGGAGGACCAAGAGAAAGCAAAGACACACAAGCCTGCTTCCAAGAATGATTGAAAAGGGGAGTGTAGTCTTTGACAGGCCATCTTTAAGAAAGGAGGCTGGAAACAGGCATCAGTGAGACTTCTATTCTAGGGAAGACTAAGGACCACTGCAAACTGGGGGACATTTTTACAAATACATGCTTTTATTTAGCAAACATTCATCAAGTGGCTCCTGTGTCGGGGTACGATGAGGTCCTGGGTATATAAGTATTCACTAAAGCAGTTTCTGTCCGCTAGAACTTGTGGATTTGCCAGGTTACTTTTCATTGCTGCTTCTAGTGATTAGCACTTAATATTTAACACAGCAGAGGGGTCCAGCAAAGATGATTGTGCTAGATGAAATGAAACGAAAGGAAATGCACATATGAAAACCTGGAAATTTGCTTCTTGATTAGCAACTGTCAAGAAAGCTAGAGAAAAAGCTACTGCACCCCCAGTTTTGGAGGAAAGGAGACTCTGGGAAGGAGTCAAGTGAAAGGTAGTGATATTGAAAAGAGGGAATCAGGTAGAATCACCATGTGTGCAGATGTAGAGCAAGGATGCGATCCAGGCACCAGGTTAGAGGAATAAGCCCAGATCCTCACTGCTCAGGAGGGGACTGGGTAGCTCCCCAGCAGAAAGTGGGGTGCTCTCAAGGAGCAAGTTCTTATTCTAGATTGTTCTCTCCATTTCTGTGCATGTGTAATCTCATGCTCAAATTGGATGGCAGATACCCTCCGTAGTCAGGGGCTAGGTTCCAAGCCTGGCCCCATCACTTGGCCAATATGTGATCTCCACTGACTTAATGACCAAAGAGCTGCAGTCTTTGTAAAATGGGAACTTTACTAATACATACTTCACGGAATTGTGAGGATTAAATGAGATCATCTGTAGAAAACATTTAGCAGAGTAGCTGACATGTATTTAGAGTGCAATAAATATTATAACCCCCTACCCCCCACTGTGTGTGTATGTGTGTTTGTGTGTGTGTGTGTGTGTCTGTGTGTAGTGCTGGGGACTGAATCCAGGGCCTTGAGTATGCTAAGCAAGCATTCTAACATTAGGCAACATCCTCAGTGTAATAGTACTAATAGTAACTATCATTATCAGTTATTTATTTTTTGAACATTTTTTTAGTTGTAGATGGACACAATACCTTTATTTTATTTATTTATTTTTATGTGGTGCTGAGGATCAAACCCAGTGCCTCACAGGTACGTGGTAGGAAGTATTCTACCACTGAGCTACAAACCCAGCCCCCATTATCAGTTTTTTCTAAGACTGTTTGTCTGGGGAAAAAAATAACAATTTTTACCAGAAAATTTAGAGCATCTCTTAGAGTCTAACAAAGTTTAACTTATTCGTTACTTTGCA